ACCCAACAGTACCACCATGAGCACCATAGAAAGTTCATTAACTATACAATGGAGTTTTTCTTCTGGAAACATTTAGAAATGTCTTCTATCTGTTGCTGTACTTGCAAATACACTGTGATCAATCCATTATTTACGCAGTAACTAACAATCATTTTATTGTAAATGAATCTGTCCACAGCTTTTAATTGATTAATCGTTTAGTCTATAAAATATTAGAAAAACACATCATCATCATCATCAACCTTACAGTGATCAGTGATCGGTGGTCATAGTTTAGCTTCACTGCCGTGGATCAAGAAAGCGTAATATGAAGAGGAGGATGAGGAAGAAGAACACAGGATGTTTTTTGCGGTCTCAAATGTAAACTAAAATCAGACATTTAATTTGACGTTGACCACTTTCTGTAGCCTTACGTCTTGCTTCGTTGGAGTCAGTAGTTGGCTGGACTTCAGATTGGCCCCAAAACCTTCACCACACCAACCACCTGCCCCTCTTAACCCTGCCCTGGCTCTCTAGTCTGAGGTGGGAGCGATGAGAATCACCACATACCAGACAACACCCATATAAACCCTCCTTGAGTTGAATGTGCTACAACTGAGGGAAATTCCCTTTTCCACTCAGGGAGGTCAAAGGTCAGGCTCAAGCAGCAACCCCGGAGCTGATAGAGAGTCAGTGTCTTAAACTCAGGTCGTCAGGTGAAAGATGGCCTCTCCATCCTGCATCTGGGTGGATGTTTTTTTTTTTACATTTCTATTTTTCCCTGATAAGGTTTAGAAAGCCACCAAAAGAGCTGAAACAAAGTGTGGTCAGCGTGAGATGGCCAGGCATTCCAGACTACACAAGCTGACCACAGCTAACTTGGCCTTTTTCTGTCCATATTGCTGAAACAGCATCAGACACTGGATTTTTCTGCTTCTACAACCACAAAACTGACCTGCAACACAGACAAGAGACAGAGCACGGAAGACAGAAAGAGTGGAAGCGAGTGAAAGGGAGAAAAAAAACAACACGAGTAGGGAGGGCAGAAGCAGGCGAGCACTCGCCACAGTCTTTTTCTGGCTACCGTTGTTCTTTGCACTTCACCACACAATACTCAGCGCGACCACAACTGGCTTCAGTGAGGGACTACACCATATTTGTGTGTGTGGGAGAGAGTAAGAGAGAGGGAGCAAGAGAGAGAGTGACAGTGGGAGCAATGGAGAGAGATCATGAGCAGCATGCAGGGTCTGAAGGCAGCCTACAGAGGTCAGTGTGTTTTCATGATACAGCTCCACAGACAGTCAGTATTTGCTGTTAATAGCTGTGTTTCTGATCCATGCTATGAAGTATTTCAATGCCATCCACTAATCTTCATAGAATACTGTTTTAGCAGTTGGTATGCAATAAATTAAATAAATATAAGAAATGTTGATGACAAATCTGGTACCGATAACAGGCACTTTCCACTACTGGTTTCCAATTCAAGACAAACACGTCTTTCCAGTGCTTATCTCCTTGGCATTTTTAAATATTTTACTACACCACAAATAGAAATGTGTTCTTACATGTTGCTTTAAATGGAAAATGTTGCTTTTTTTAAACCTGGAGGTGAGTCTCTGTGGAGCCCTACATCTCACATCCTCCCTTTTAGTTGAAGCACTAAAGCATCCCTCTATCACAACCTGCTCTTTCTCTCCTTCAGTTTGTCAGGGGTGATACCAGGGCAATAAAACATCAGATATGAACGTGGTTTGGATTTTTTAGCTCATTGATGTGCCATCTTTTGCCATTTAAAAGTCAATATAGTGTAAAAACAGTTGAAACTACTCTTTTAAGTAATTGGCTTAAGCCAGTGGTTCTCAATCTGGGGGTTGGGACCCCCTCTAGGGGTCGCCAAAGCATCATGGGGGGTTGCAAAGCCTTCTTTATTTTAAGGTGTGTAAGAAAAAAGTATGAAACTATACACAGTACACCTATATCTCAGAATTGTATAATTATATGAATTTATTTGAAGGAAACTAAATGACATTGTTATTTTTAAACTTTGACGACCTGAACTTTTTTCACTCCCTGATAAACAGCCTCATTCTGCAATAGAAAAGTACAGATTTAAAACAACCTCTTAAGAGATTTGTATCAAACATTCCCCCAAAATATCAGGAAAACTCATTTTTATATTCAATATTTACAGGAAATAAACATCCAAATCATAAATATACATAAATACATAAACTCCATTAAATATATCACTTAGTCAGGGGTAGTTAGTTTAAGCCATGATAGAAAAGAGCTCCCTTAAGGAAAACGGTTGGGAATCACTGGTTTAAGCCTTTTTATTTGATCTAAAATATAGGAAGAAGTTAATCAAAACACAATCAACAGATAAATTGATTTTAACATCAGATTATTTATGCTGATGAAAGGAAAAGTTGCATGTGTCAACAATCCGTGTCTGTAGCTCTTCTACACTCCCTCTCATCCCTCTATTTGCCCTTCTCCTTTCCACTCTTTCTTTCTGCTCTCCCCCCTCCTCCTCTCCTGGTGGTCTGCTGAGCTGCCCACAGAGGTCAACAGAAAGACAAACCGACCAATCAGAAGCTAGTGCAACATAAGGTCAGGGGTTATAGGTCAGCAAACAGCATGAGCGATGGAAAGTCAAGACCAACTGTCCAGTGGTTACATTCCTTAGAGATATACGCTCCTTAATCGTTTATAGAAAACTCAACCGTGTTGCTTGCAATTTTTTAAATCAACCTTACTTAGAACCATGGGGGAAACATTTTCTGAGACTTTACTCTCCAGGTTAGTCCAAGTATATTTATGTGTATGAAGAGATACCCTGTACCTCATACCCGCTGTCACTCACATATAGGAGTCTCCTTTGTGGTTGTGAGGCCATTAGTAGGTAAATTAAATTATTACCAAGTGCTGCTGTTTGATCTTCAGACAGCTTTAATGATGTATGACCAACATTAGCTGATTATACAAAGCAACACCAACCTGCCAAACTTTATTCAGCAACAGAAACATAGAGACTGGAAACACACTTGACTCTCGTCTTATTTTGCTTGCTTTGACATTTCAAAAGTAAGAAGTAGAAGGACATAACACCCATAAAGTTGCACTAAATTCATGAATGACAAAAAACAGAGTGAGAGTATGATGCTGTTCATTATTTAGCCACCTGCGCAGGTTGAATTTGACCCGGACAAATTGTCCTGCTGTATGTCAGCAGCGTCTGAAATGTATCCAGCATGAAGGCAGAAAGATAGAGAGAGCAGACAAAGAACGCAAAGTAATCTGTGATCTGTCCCGCCACACCCTGACCTACAAAGGTAACCCAAATGCTGGGGGCTACACGCACGCACCCACAGACACACACACACAGACACACATGTGCACACACAGATCAGATACAGTCTGCGGTAACCCTACACTAGAGATAGAAAGATGGGAGGACACGATGAGGGATGAGGTGTGTGTGTGTCTGTCTGTGTGTGTGTGTGTGTTCCCTCTGAAGTTGAGCTAGCTCCTTCACCCCCTCAAGGCTCTCTGCAGACTCGTCTTTCTCCATCCAACTCCAAACTCTTTCTGGGTACTCACTCTGAAGAGGAACAGTTCGTATAAACAAAGCTTTTCCTCTAGAGCATGGCAAATCTCAGCTGATCAAAAGTGCCAACATAATGCTAAGACTGACTAGGTATTCCTTCAAAGATATACTCAACCAAAATCTATCTATTGAGAATGAATATACCTTACTGCCTACAGGTTTGAAAAGTGGTTCTGAAAAGTTTGCTCCTTCACAAAAGACAGCAGCACACACAGCGATTACAGCTGCTGGTTCCAGTGGTGGCCCAGAGGCACAACAATACCAACAAAAACCTTGTCAGAACATATCCCAAAGTCCATAGAAACTTCTCAAAACCAATTCCATACTGAGCATCTGGATCAACAGTGGAAAAGTGGATCATGCTACAAGACAGGTTTGAGAGGTTTCTATGAGTTTTTTTTTGGCATGTTTGCCTTTATTGATGGAGATAGTGGAGAGACAGACAGGAAACATGGGGAAACTCAAGAGATGACATGTAACAAAGGTCTTTGGCAGCATTGCAGTTACATGGTATGCTTCTAGGCTACTATACTTCACATCACTTCACCCAATTTTGATGTATTTTTGACAGGTTTTTGCTATTTGCTGTGTCTCTGGGTCACTACTGGAATCCAAAAATAACTGCTGTAAAATGCAAACTGACCTTAGCTGATGTTCCCACTAAATATTCTTTAGTTTTTTAATCTCAAAAGTGAAGTGTTTTCCTTTAATTGTGTCAATTAAAGGCAAGGCAACATTGATTAGGGAACTGCACTGTGATATACACACCATAATTTGCCATGAATGTTGAAGACAAAATCACAGACAAAAATTGTAAATGTCAAAATGCAGTTTTGTGTATTGTTTAAAATTAGAACATCAGCATAATTATGTGAGTTTGTGCACTTGTTTACCTGTAGCCATGAAAGTCATCAATGACATTTTGGACCAGCGGAGACGTCATGGGTTGATGAATGGATCCAGGAGCCAGTGCCATGTTCCCGCTAAGTATCTGCTGCGTGTGATTGGCTCTGGGGTCCCAGGTGTAGTTTCCATGGGTGATGTTGACCCCTCTCTTGCGTCGAGGCAGAGTTCCATGTATGGAGATTGGCTGGTAGGCAGCAGAGGGCCTCTCTGATAGGCTGCTGCCGTGCCCTGGAGGGAGTCTGGGGGAACGAAACGGGAAAGAGGAGGAGAGAAAAATTTAATTGAAGTAAGCTCAAACTAAATTAAAACACCCCAAACCTTTGTGAAGACTTTCACTTTAAAAAAATCCCCTTCCAGATGCGGCTGTATCCTCCTAAACCCATTTTTTTTTACTAAATTCCACATAAGTACCTTTACTTAGGTAAGAAAAATGTTCTGTTCCACTCTCTGACAGCATCCCATGTATACCGTACTCTGTGTCAACTTGTTCCAACACTTCTTTGAAGCCCTTTGATGCTGCTTACTGTACACAGATATTCAGATGTTTATGTCTCCTCAACGTCTAATGCAAACATTTGATGTCTCATTTTATAGATATTGTCCTCTAATTCAGCCTTACATATTTGGTATTTTTGGAAAATGTTGGGTTTTCCTTATAGTTTAAATTATGATTTGTGGGTTTGAACAGGGTTTGTCCACACAGAATGTAGTTGTAATACTTAACCCATCTATTAGAGAAGCATCACCAAAGATTATAGAAGCAGATGATTACTTTTGACCTTTTCTGTCATGGGAACCAAATTGTTTTGTAATTGCCTGCTTATTAACGTAACAAAATCTACTAAAACCTGGATTGCCTTACAGAAAAGACAGGAAAGAAATGCCAGCATATTGTATATAGGCTTGTTTAACAAGCTATGTTAGTCAGACCCAAATTTGTGCCAGGATTCTTTGAATACCACCTACTCACCCAGGTCTGGAGCTGAGGAGGTCCATGGAGGAGGCGAGGGAAGCCTGGAGCCTCCGGGAGGAGCAGGTGCTGCTGCTGGGCACACCGAGGGAGGTGGAAGGGACTCCAGGGTGTGCAGTGCCTCCTCCCAGGGTGTGGTGAGCATGGAGGGACCTGGGCAGACTGGCAAAACGCCCCTCTGCCATCATCCTCAACTCTGGAAAGAAACAGAAACACAAAGTCAGACACAGAGGACCTGAATCTTTTACCAGCACTTAAAAGCTTTGGATTTGAAGAGTTGATCTAGTCTTTCCACTGACAAATTACTGTATACATATATACACACTACAAGTGCAATGGCTTTATTAAGGTGATAAATACATAAAGAAAAGTTCCTCCAGGTGTATAACCTAACACACTTACAATAACCAGGTGGACAAGGTTATGTAACCATGGTAAAACAAGACAGAAGGGTGAGGTGCAATACATTGCTGTAAAGACATATGAGCTGAAACACACAAACACACACTGGCGTACAGTCAGACACATGATACACACATAAAGAGAGCCAGTACAACAAGGAAATACCCGGTATATGTCGTTTAAATTTAATAAAATCCATCAAAACATCAAACACATCTAAAAAATGAAATTAAAATCTCAGTTTTATCAAAAGTTTCAAGTTAACTTCATAAACTAAAGACAAGACATTTCCCTTCTTTTTTTGTTCTAGATTTTCGTTTATAATTGAAACACTGAGGAGGGCAAAGGGCCACTGCTGACCTGAGGAGAACATGGTCATTTTCTCAAAAAACTCTGAATGTTAAACCATTGGGGAATGCTTCCGATTATTTATATTCACCATAAAACCAGCTTCTTCTCAGACCTTTCTAAAAGCAACTTTTTTTTTATTTGCTCATGGGGTGGATGTTGTCCAATGACAGACAGACAAGCAGATATAAATACACAGAGATGGACAGGACAGATAGGTTGGTTGTGATGGAAAACACTGGACAGGTTCTTGATAAAATCCCCTGCTGTGTGATGATGACTGGACAGCCTGCTATATCTTCTGCTCTGAATCACTCAGCATGCAGCAGTTAGTCATACTGTACAAACTAAAACACCACGAGCTGACAGACACGTTTGGCAGACATGTTGGCAGACTGGATGGTAAGAGATTCCAAAAAAAAACCCTCCCTACTTCTAATCTCATCAAACCTTAGAATCTGACCGGGACAACTATGCTGCCGGCTGTTATTGTGTCTCCCTTTGGTAAACTTGATTACGATCACAGAAAGTGCGAAGGAGACTGTGGGGCTCGGCACTGTAAATAGTGTTGAAGAGGCAAGTGTTTTGAATCAAGGCGATCAACATGGCTGCTGGTGAAAAATAATTTGATTTAAAAAAGGCTGAGAATCTACTTTTAAATTTAAGAATTTGTTTCTTTCTGTTCTTATTGGTTAAAATTATGTTAGTTGATGTTAAATTGCATTAGTGCTGCCAAGCATGATCAACTTTTCCTAAAAGCAGAGTGTGGAGAGTGTAAACAACTACCTGAACTGAAGAAATGAGCAAACTGAACTGACTAAACTGTAATTATGTAGTAGAATATTATTTTTCATAATAAGGCGCAGCCACACAGTTTTTTACTGAAGCACAAGTTAATAACAAGAGACTACCCACAACAAACAATACAGCATTTAAAGGAATACTCATTTTGGGATGCTTGTTTGTTTTCTTGCTGTGAGTTAAAGGAGAAGATCTCAGTAGATACACTGTCCACAATCTGATTAGCCTAGCTTAGCATAAAGACTGGTACCACATGGAAACAGCAAGCCTCCACCAAAAGAAGAAAAATACACCTTTCAACAGTTATAAATTAGTCATGTTTAAATGTATGACATTCAACAAGCTGGCCACCAATGATACAAGAATAACAGGGATTTTGTTCAGAAGTGTTTAAACACAAACACTGTTTACAGTCACCTGGCCCAGCTGTTGGTGGTCAGCTGCTGTGTATGCCAACTGCTCATTAATCCACAATGTGTTTTTTTCCCTGTTTCTACTTGTTCAGTACAAACATATGATGTGTAAATAGGACCAACTTAGCATTTTTTAGAAGTCACCTTTCATAGAGCCAAGCTACTTGTTTCCTCTGCTTCCACTGTGCTAAACTAAATATATTGTAGCTCTGCACTAAATGCATTGGTATAAAAACTGATACTGATCTTCTTATCTGACTCCCAGTAAGAAAAAAACAAGCCTGTTTCCTAATATGTGAGAGTATTTCTTACAGTTAAATATTGCATATGTTGGTGTGTCCTGTTTTGGAGTCTGAGCACTGTGTAAAGTGCTTTTTCTTAGGTAAGTGATTTGTTGTGGGGATAGTATGTGGTATGACCTTGTGGACACATTTGCTCCTGTACAAAGGGACTCAGTATCTATTGTATAGCTGGTAACAGAAAATCATATTACAAGATATGCAAAACACAATCACATGTATGCATGTTGATACCCTGTGTGCGGGGAGTAGGGTTGGAGTTTGATAGCATTTTGTCAAATCAATTAACTAGTTTGTTTCAGCAAAAGTTCATTGTACGGTGTTATGTCACAAGAAAAACTCTGATAAGAGGTGACCTTGTTGAATTTGTGATTTGAGAGTGGCGTTAAGAGAGTGGTACAGACACCGCGTACAAACAATGTTCATTTGAACTGGTGAAAACAACAGTGAACGTCACATTAAATTCAGAGGACCTGCTACCGCGGTGTCTTGTGCACTGCTCTTTTTTTTGTTAATACAAATATCAAGGAGAGATAAAACATTTTATTAAAGATCCATGAGTGTTGGAGATTAGCAAACACAGGAAACCAGAAACTGAATATAAAACCAAACCCAACTTTAGCAGGGGGTCTCTGAGCCACCAGCTTACGATGATGAATGTCAATAAAAATGCAAATAAAGGTTTAGAGAGAGGAACAGCTGGCCAGTTCAAGACTTAAGCATGACAAGTGAAGTTTATACACACACACACTCACACACACAAACGCACTGTAAAAGTCCTCCGAAGGCATGCTGGGTCAGAGTGTGGATTCCTCTGAGGGGCAGAACGACTACAGGAGGACGACCTATTATAAGACCCTCAGGGAGGGTCAGCTGTGTGTGTAATTGTGTGTGTGTGGGCTCTGACCATCTGCCAGACACACACCCTCCCCTGCAGAGGAGAAAGGACTGACTCTCACTGAGGGAAAACACAGACACGCAGCACTTACGCACATGAATACTTTGTCGATTAATCTTATAAATAAATTATTCATGCTAAGAGCTATAGGAAGTCATTTCAACGTGGAGCGGAGGTGTGAAAAATCTCACTCCTTCTATCTATCTCTTTCTCCTTTTACCTCTCCCCTCTCCTCTTCCCCATGTACTCTTTCCACACTATTTATTTCACTTTTCTGCCTTATTTAAATCACTCTCTCCTTTTGACTCCATCCCTACACATCCATCTTTCCCTTTCTTTTCCAACATTATGCCCCTGTCCACACAGACATCCCCTCCCTCCTTCTGTCTCTCCATCATGATGTCAGCTCTTCCTTTGCTTTCCACACTTCGTCACCTTCTCTCTGTCCTTTGTCCTTCCACCTCTCGAAATAATAGAGTTTTTTCCTCCTCCTGCCTCATCCTCTCCTCCCTACAGCTGCTCAGCCACCAGCTACATCACCCTGCATCACACACACACACACACGGAAAAAGGAGGGCACTGGCAAAAGTCCATTATTTTTCTATATTGGGATATTATCACACATGCCATCACCATTTACCAAGGAATAAGAATGGAAGCTAATTTTAAAAGTCCATCCACTATTTAAAGTTAATTTGTAGTATAGTTTAGGTTAGTCTCAACAGTAAATTAACTGGTAACATGATGTGAAGCAGCTATATAAAACTGATGGCCATGATATAAACCTATAGTTACACTCCTACATTATTCCAAACAGTTCTATGTTGAGGGGGATGGAGGACAACCTGATAATTCATTTATACTCAGTATGACATTGTGTTTATTTCAATGGATTTCTGTTTGGGTCTGAATGTTTATTGACCAAATCCCTGAGAAGACAATTGTTGCCATTTTTGGGGCAATTGTTCTGTCATCCTCTTTCTAGCTTTGGCACATTAAAAGGACATTTTCCATTTTAAATTCTTCCTTACAAAGCTCTGATTGGAGATATGGACTGTTATTATATCTGTAACAAGCTAAGACTGGCAGATACATTGGCTCCAGTGGATAGCAATTTAGAGGTCTGGAACCAGGCTACATTGAGGATATGATTATGAAACTCTGAAATAGGAATTTACAGTAGGAAAATACTCACAACTCTTACATTTTAATAGACACCTGCCATCTAATCAGAGGTATTTTCCTTATCTATGGTATAAAAGACAAAATATTATTACACAAACACAAGTAAAGTCCTTCGGTTGGGAACACAAGCACACACTCACACAAACATACACAAGGCCTTGGGTGGGAAACCAGTGCAGATTAACAGGAAGAGGAAATGGCAGTATAAACATTTAGACGGCAGGCAGCTCATTATAAAGGATTACTAGCAATAAAACAAATATCTCTCTCGCTTCCTTTCCTCCCTTTCACTATCTCTCCCTTTCTTTCTATAATTGTATTTCACAGGGACACGCAGGACATAACTTTCCTAATAAATTTAGTTTAATTTAATGTAATCCCCCCACCCATCCACCCAGCCCGTCTCTCTAGCTAACCATACACATCAGTCAGGATTCAGAAAGGCTTTGTCTCTAATCCACTGAAGTACTGACTTTAAAACTGGGTGTCTGGGGACCACCAGTGGTCCTTGAGGTGGTTCAACAAGTCCATGGTTTACATAATACAAAATAAGCTTCTAGATTAAGAACGTACTCTACATAGTTATATGATTTATAAATGAAATGGACTTTAAACATCAGCTGTCACATGTTGCACTACTGGTATTTTATTACACTTACACACAATAGGGAGGACAACACGAATATCAACATGCTTGGGAATAAGGGGTTTCCTCTAGCGAGCTTAAAGTGTCTTCCTGCCATGGCATGAACACAAATACACACACACACACACTCTCACACACACACACACACATAAACACACCAGTGCATTAGCAAAACCACCCCTGGCCAGAAGTGAACAATGGGAACAACTGTCACATGACTGCTGTTTAGAGCCAGCCTTTGTTGAAGAGAGAGAGAGAGGTGTCCTACTGCGCTCTTCAGTGCGTAGGCCTACCAGTGTGTATGTGTGTGTGTGGTGTGCAAAGTAGGTGCAAACTATTAATGAGGTTATTAATCCCACAGCAGTAGCTGCCATTTAATACTTTTGAATCTATGTGTATATATCTATCTTTCTCACAGCGCACACACACACACACACCATCTACCTACCTACCCTGAGTGTGTATGCTCAATGTAGAAATGGAGTGGGGAAAAATGTGTTGTCCATGTACAGTCACTGATCAGCACATTGTGGGCCAGTCAGTCAGGCAGTCACACAGAGAAAGAGCCAGCTGAGTCAGAGAGTGCTGGAAAAAGGTTTTAGTTCCTGAATTTAGTTAAAACAACAGTACTAAATAAAAGTCATCCATCAGAGGTAAAGTCCTGCACAGCAAAACCAAGTTGTACTTGAAATGATGTTCCAACTACATCAAAGACGGCAAAGCATCCAGAGTTGTGCTTGTGATGTCTTTTGTGTGCAACAACATTATAGCTTCAATTCAAATGTCCTTGACAACCCTCAATTAATCCCCTAATGAACTGCTAAAGTTAAAAAATAACAATGCTAACTTGACGGGTGATGACATAGATAGTACCTTGTGTTTATTATACTCACATTAACACAATAATGTTTAAGTGTGTCAGTCTTGATATCTAATAGCATTCAATTATGGAGATGAAAAAAATAACATTAACTTAAAGAAATGTGCCACTTTGCTTTCTTTCCAAGACTTAAATGAGAAGATCAACACCACTCTTTTGTCTGTATGTTAAATATCAAGCTGGAGCCAGCAGGCTGACGACAGGACTCCAGGAAGTCACTGGCCTCTTCAAGGTTCCTGTACTTAATTCCCTGTGAAACCAGAAATTTCAGCTTTGTACATTTTTTAAAAACAGGATATAACGTGTTAATAAGTGAGCTTTAGAGATGCTGGTATTTGGATTTTTTTTTTAAAGCTAAGCAACCTCATATTTAGTGCACAGACATGCAAATGGTATCTTTCTTTCCATCTAACTATGAAGAGAAAGCAAATGACCCATATCTCCTTCTGCAAAGACTAGTCACAGATTACTGCTTTAAGTATCAAAAGTAAATCTCCAAATGCCCCATTCAGAGTGCTACATTGTTGATCTTGATGATGTTGCAGCTCAGCCAACTCCTGCCCAGAAGTCCACTTTATTCAGTACCGGCAGGATGGTTTAATCTGCTTCCTATTCTATGTGCTTGCCATATCTCAGTAGGTTGTAGGTCTTAAGGTAGTAGAAGGAAAATTTGATTATTTTCTTCTGAAAAGCAGAAAAGTTTAAAGTTGCACAAAGTGGTACTGCTCAAGTTAACAACCAGTATCCCCAAATTATAGTTAAGTAAAGGCCTTGAAAATATGTATTTACATTTTTACTTTCAACCTCTGCAGTCAGTCAGTCAGTCAGTCAGTCAGGCTTTGTGAAGACCACCAGTCACACAGTGTTGATGGCTGGCTGGAATACCAACCACCTCATCCCACTTGGGTGAGTAACACAACACCACACACACACCCCTCCAACACTGCCACTGCAAGTACACAACCATCACAGTTAAAGTTGAGCTCTGTGAATCTGACACAGACACATTTCAGCATTAATTAAAGGTCCAATTGCATTTGCTTGGTTCAACGCCACTACAGGGTTCAGACACGACACTGACTAATGTCTGAAACAACCTGCTGCATGTATGTGTTTATCCATACAACAAACAGAACATCAGCACTACACTACACCCACACACAAACAGATGCACACATATGTCTGCCTCTGTCATCATCTCATGGGTGGCTTGCTGTTTAAAGATGTGTTGTCATGACAAGGTTGTCATAAAGGTCAGAGTTTCAGTCTGAGCAGCAGTCACTCAACGTGTTAAAGTGTTTCTAAGCAAGAAAATTGAGAGCTGTTTGATAAGAGATCATTTGAAAGCATATGCTACAATAAATATTGATGACAGCAGCTGTATCAAACCTCTAATTTATCATATTAATGTTGTAGATTGGTTGCAGAAAATGTATTTATGATGCTGAATACCCTCTCTGATAATCACTAATTACTAAAATATTAAAGCTATAGCCTTAACCCAAACCTAAATCTCAAACTCACTCAAAAACAAGTAAACAAGAAACAATCTCAATGAAAGATCTTGATTTTATCAGTCATATTTCATTTAATCATTTCCTGCTGGAGTTTCTACAGTTAGCACCATCCATCCCAGCAACCACAGTTACACCCAGCGCCTTGGGATGGCAACTTATTGCTCAAAAAGTCCCTGAGCAAATCTAACTCACTGTAAGCTGTAAACAATTCAACCCGAAAGGGATGGAGAGAAGGCATGGGAGTGTCGTTGAATAAATATACAGAAGCCCCAGAAAGAGAAAAGACAGAATTTTCTATTTTTAGCTTTAAGTTTGGATGAAGTTGGAGGATGAAAGACAGAGACGAATGAAAGTGCATCCAGAAGAGGAGATGACCATCAAGATGACTGTCTGCCCTGCTACCCCCAACTACATACACACATTCCTACACACACCTACTGTATATGGATGCACACTCACATAAACACAAAGGATCTCACTCTTACCTGTCAGTGTGACCTCTTCTCCTTTTCCTGATCTTTGCTCTTATTTGTTCTTTTTAGTTGTATACACTTCAATCAAAGTTATTCCATTTCATAGTTTTTTGAATGACTGAGTAGCTGACTAGCTGACCGGCTGGAAGACGATACACTCACGCTCCTTCAGACAGGCAACAACAAGTAGCTGCCGCACAATCCCAAGCCCTGCCCTCCTCTCTTTCTCTCTCTGGGGAGTGATTTGCGAGCACCCAGCCCCTCCTCCTGCTCTACTGTGTTTGGGAGGAGTTTTCTTTCTTTCTTTCTTTCTTTCTTTCTTTCTTTCTTTCTTTCTGGAAATGAGCATATTTCAAGATTTCTCGCCCCCCCCCCCCCCACTCCCAAACTCCTTTGCCCCCAGCACCCGAACACAAACTCTCTCTGCCTTCCTCTCCTGCCACTTCCACTCGCCCCTGCTCGTCCTCTGCCCTCGTGTTCCCTGCAGCGCGCTCATATTTCATGCTCCAAGTGCTTGGTTGTTTGGGGACCTCCTTACGCACCAACCACCGACCCAGCAACGTTTTTCGGGGTCTGCGTACCGTTACAAGAGGATGTTAGATGGACCTAATGTTGCTAGTTGTGGCAGAGAAGGGATGAACCAAGAAAATAAGGAATGTGGTCGCGAGCATGGTTGTGGGTATGTTTGGCAACTCGAGGTGCACTCCAGACTTCATGAAGGTTTTACCTACTTGACTCAGTGTGGCTGGAAACTAATCAGCGATGGGCACTCGGGGTGTTTTCTTTTAACCAGCTTTCACAGGAATGTTGGGGGAAAACGATTACATTTCATTCTAATTGAAGCAGTGACAACGTAGGAAGAGGTCTTAATTGTTGTCATTACATAGACTATGAGGGTTGCGATGTTATGTGTGGCTTTGGTGTGCCTGTCTTTGTCCTCCTGTTCCTTTGTATTGTCTAGAGTTGATAACACCCAGACACGTGCATGTGGGTGCGCGTGTGTATGTGTGTGTGTGTTTCCTTTTCAGCAGATAGGAAGGGGGGGCCATCCTGCCAGCTATGAAAGCTGAGATGATCCGAGACGGCCCGCATTGTGGACACACAAGCACACCAGCAGCACACCACACACACGCTGCCACTTACATGTAAGTCTTTTGATCTTGAGCTATTCACACTACATTTCCTAAGATTAAGAAAGCCATTAAAGTGCATGAGGGCCATAACCTTGTTTATCTTTTTTTATTTATTTATTTAATTCAATGGTGGTCCAAAAACTAGTGGTCTGTAAGCTGCCTCCAGTTGTACATGGAGGAATCTTAAAAATGTTTTTTTATTAAATTAATTCATTATTTCGAATGAAAATATTTCAACTATGAAATAAATATAAATAATAATATAATAATAAAAAATAAGTTTTGCATTTCCTGTCATATTTTGTTTCAGTATCAGCTTGCTACATAGTCATGTTCTTGAACTGGTTCAGGATTCAACAGTCTACAATAAATATTCTTATTAGGAATTAACTTGCTTCCTGCATGAACTGTCCATAGCTAAATAAGGTCGACCTATGTTACTTTATTTTACCATCGGACATAATGGTGGTACGGGGAGAGCCTAATATTTTCTGAGGTGGTACGCAATGTAAAAAGGTTTGAGAAACACTGGTCTAGATTATACAGTTAAACATTAGGTTTGTTTTTCTCCTGCTTCCTGCCTTACTGTCACAGATCACAACAATAAAATTGATAAGTAAAATACCATCATAAGCCACAAACATGATCAATAAAATGAATGAAAATGATGTCTGTATATGTGGTGAAATATATGGTGTTAGAATAAATAATTTGGATCATATTTCATTGTTGTATGCTACTGGTTCTCATCCTAGGGGTCGGGACACCCACAGGGGGTCATGAGTGGAAACACCACACAAGTCATGTTTATTTTTTGATTTTTATCATTATTTTCCCCTGTGAAATTCGACATGAGCCTCTTTCCACAACTTAAAATTAACATTTTGAGAAGGGAAAATCACTTTTCAGATGAACTGTTTGCAGCTCACAGCCAGAGACTTTGACTAGACAGTAGTAGATACTGGCTTCGCATTAAGGAGTCCTATGCAAAAAAGCTTGGGAACATTGTTCCAAGACTGTATTTTTGCTCACATTTGAGCATTTTTCCTTTTCACCACAGAGAAGAGGTCCATTAATGTTAACCAAAACTAGTCACTGAGGGAAGACAAGAGTCACTGCTGAATCTTTTCATACTTCAAACAAACCACAAAACATATGGTCGATTAAATCCATGCAATATAAAGGCCTGGGGGCATTAGGTAATGGTGATCCAGTCATTGAAGGAATAAGTTTTTTGGCCTATTTACAATAACCAACACTGTGAGAAAGGAGCACAGTCTGAATGTCAAAGCCAAGCCTAGAAGGTGCTCCTGGACAAAAGGGACTGTGAAAATATCGAGCTGAAGTTAAAATGTTCATTTTTTTCCTGAGCAAATCTTGGTACTATTTCATACAAGCATGTGAAAATTCTTGGCAACTTTGTGTGTGCGAGGGTTGGTATTTCCAGGAAGGTGTACAGTGAGTCAGAAGCATAATCTGTAATCATCTCCTGAATCACCTAAACCCCCACAAAAAAATAGGGGTAGGAGAGGAGGGGGGTAGCGGTTTCAGAGAGGCAGAGCAGAACTGCAATCCCTGTCTGATATGTGTCCTTGTAATGAAAGATCTTATCAAGTTGTTTGTGAAATGACAAACCTACATGACAGCAATCCTCACTTCTAAATGATCTGCGGCTTTACACCATAGATTTTAGAGCTGTTTGGATAATTTGTAGGATTTGTATCATTTGCTCTGTCCTAGTATTATTTTTTTGTGGGATCTTGCTATAGTCATTAGATATATAAGTAATAATACATGATGGGGTGTCCTTATATGAAAAAGATAACATAAAAGGCAGAGAAGAATTCCCCAGTGCGATGCACAGTGGCATTTCCTGCAGTAGTATTTTTAGAGGTTTTATGATGCGCACAGACTTAATTGTACCGCACAGGAAGTCTACATTATCAAGTTTTAATCTTCAACTTCAGTCTGCAAATCAAAATATTTAATTTACCACATTTTTTAAATGCGTTTGAAGAATGCTATACTACTATTACACCCATGTCAAGCACTTCCTGTTAACGTGAATCCTCAGGCCAAGCCCTTCTTCGGCACATTGGCTCAACGTGTTGGCACAATGCCTCGCTGAGTCACTCATTTCCGAACACTGACCACCAATACACTTCAGGGCACCAGTGTTTCCCGCACCATTAAATAGATAGGTTTGGCTTCCCCACCCACTGGAGATGACACCTGCACATAATTGGATGAGTGTATTACTCGTTCATTGGTATTAGCAAACGTTTGTTTTTTCCTTTCCATGCAGAGTTTTGTGGTATTCCTGGAACTCCTCAGTTGGATGATATGAACTTTGCAAGGCACAATCTCTTTCTGATTTCATCGTCTCCTCCTTTCTCCCTCTTCTCTCCCCCTCATTCCATCCACTCCTCATCTTCCTCCTCTCTTCCCTCTCTTCTGTTCTCCTCCTCCACTCCCTCTATCCCTTATGAAAGAATATCCCCAATGGGGATTGATTAAGTATATGTTACATCTCATTCGTCTGATTGCAGCCGCAAGGTCCTACGATAAAAAAATCCAGATCTATTTATTCAGAACAGGTAGAGTGAAATCTGACTCATGCAATAGTGGTTTCTGTGGAATGTCAACGTCAACAGCTAATCCACGCGATTCGTTTTGTTTTTGTTTTTTTATTAACTTTCCAAAGTTGCAGAATTTGACAGGAGCATAATGATAGATGGCAGCTTCTGTGTAATAGGAGTCTGTAAAGGTTGCAACATGCAGCTGCCTAGAGCGATTGTAAAGAAGCACTATAAAATCCAGGGTGGTTCTCTTCTCGTAATTTAATTACTTTATTGTTTTTATAAGGGACCATGTACAATGCTACACATACATTATCCAGTGTATGTATTGTACTAACCATAACTGAGAGCAAGTATTATGTGACACGGTCCTCCCCAGGAAGAGGACAGAGGAGCGTTGTTCATTTGTTGTTCACATGTTTAAGTTCAACTGACATGACTGACAAGAGAAGAGGGAACGTGATGTTGCTATAGCAACGCATAGCGGCGGTAGATCAGAAAACAAATGTATGAATCATTTTTGTAATTGTAATATGCATTTTGGACGGCAGAGACAAACAATGTTCTGCTATCGGTCATTCCAGATCAGATGGGGAATTTTGGAAGGACTAACAAGAATGATTGGTTTTTTGAAAGCGACGCGTTAGTATCCCGGTGCGTCTTGTTTTCTGTGTGTCAAATATGGATGCAAACACATACATAACACCATAAACACAAAACAAATGTTAACAAAATTAAAAACCAGTGAAGTACAAAGACCCAGTCAATGATTAGAGTCAATTAATATGATCAACATACGCACTGCTAAATTTGTAAAGGAGAAAACAACGTCCACAATGTCCCAACTTTACTTTTTCCTCAAGTATTTTTGTTTTTTGGACATTCCCATCTCGGATAAGCCTAACTCCGGGAACTGGATCTTCCCTGTTTGGACATACTCGAGATAACTGCACAGTTGGTGTTACTTACAAACATAGACGGACATGTTTATAGTACACGTAGTATTAACTCTGGGTCATGTTGATTAGTCTATCACCTTTACAACACAGATTATCCTGGTTCAGCCTGTACTTCTTGGCAGGATGTAACATAAACATCAAATATGTAAAGGTCATGGACTCTTTTTTTGCATACTCAAGTAGAGGTGCATAACACTGATTATACTGTGTTTTTATGTATTGTCAATGTGACCTGAACTGAATTGAACTGAACAGAGCTGCTGCAGTTACTGTTTTTGATGTAATTTGAGTTTAGCCCTCCCTTTAAATAGCAACAGAATACATGGTTCACATTGTCTTAAATCTCTACAGTTTCCCTCTCGAAGCTGTAAATCACAGTGCATTTTGTTCTATTGATTCATTTTGTAAGTGTTATTTTTCATTCCCTGGACACTGATATAGATCTCAGAACAAGTTAGTTCTCTTGACATCTATTTATCACAAAAACATAGATCAGCCTTAAAAACTCTTGAAGAATGTGGTCTGTGTCGGCCTCAGAGGCTGTTAAAAAACAAACTACAGAACTTGAACTACTGGCATAAGTATCATGGGTCACAGTGTTATTAAAGTCCTGGTGGCCACTTTTATAACAGCTGATAAACTAGCTAGCAGAACAGAATAGAACAACATAGTAAAAAAAAAAAAAAAACATGAATGAATCTCTCCTTCAGCAACTTCTGTGTGAACAGAAACGCCCGACGGCTGACACTTCGGGTCAGTTGACAGCTATGAATGTGTGTAATTGTCGGTGTTAAAGTTTCTATATTTGGTCCACAAACTGACTAACTCCCAACTGACCACTGTTAAGTATTCTGTCACCATGACAACATCAGTGTAAACAAACAAGCAAACAATCTGTCCACATGAACACCTGCTGTCTCTCTTTCTCTCTCTCTCACGTGTGAACATACAAACAATGTAAAACTTGCTTCAGTCCATGTTTAGCATGGAGTAGCATAGCGGTGTGTTGTCTGTGTGTGTTCTGGTATTCACATTACTCACTTCCTCAGCTCATATAGTTCAGGAAGGGACAAAACAGCTCTGACCTTAGTACTAAACAGCTGGCATATGAATGAACTGCAAACATGGATGTATGTATGAACTGTTGATGTGAATAAGCTGCTTTATGAATCCATGAGGAGCCCAGCAGTTCAAAATGAGCGCTAAATACTTTAATTTCTGTAAATAATGTAGGGGATCAGATCAGGGCTGCAAATTGTAAGCTTTTTCCTTACTCATTGATAACATTAACAATCAGTTTATTAATGAATTGTAAATAAAAAACAAAACAAATTGCCAAACAATACCAAATGCATTCTTTCCCCCCTCGATCGAAGCTTTATTTACACAGTAACATATCGCATAATCTCTGACAGCATTGCATAGCGTATGAAACATACAAAGCTAGTCATATTAAACACATAACTGAATATCAGATTCAAGTCCCAGCTAACATATAGTGTTATAAAAAAGATGCTCAAAAACAGCCAAATGCAACGCTGCAACAAGA